GCCCAGCGAATTCGCTTCCATGGCAGCCGGGCTCCTGGGGATTCCGACAACAATAACAACACGTGCTCAAAACACCCCTAGTAATAAGGGCGGGGTGAAAGTAGAAGGAAAAGTGGAAGAGGGGAATCTTGATATTAATATCGATGTCAATGTGTTCAAAGTCCTAGAACCGCTCGTTGTGCTTGAGATCGTGGCTGCTGAAGGACGGGTTGTTACGGATGTGGGAGTCAAGGGCAGGCTGCTGGTTACGCATTTGGTGAGGAGGTTGCAGCCGCTTGTTCGGTTCCCGATGGGGGAGTGGGCTGAGTGGGTTGATTATGAAGGGCAGGTCTTTAGGGTCGTTGAGGAGTGAGAGATGGGCTCGCCGTGCTTTCAAAGGTTATTTGATGTGTTTGTTTGTTTGTTTGTTTGGGAGTTGTAGAGAGAGGAGTGATTTAAATGTGGTTCAAGCTAAAGGATCGCTTTCCTGAATTGCGAGATTTGTTGCATGGGCGACTGGCTTTCAATAGACGCTTTTATCGACACTTGGCAGGAAATATGCAAGAAATCCTAAGTGCTGAATGCGTCAAGCGGATTAGAAAAGGAGGGTACCCCTTTCCACACATTTAGCGAGAAACAACGCGAAAAAAGCACCGTATTGGTTGGCGACTTACAGGGCATTTAGCGAGTGAATGCTCTCCAAGTTTCGGAAACCCTTGATCAATATATTTCTCTCCTGCTTTGTTTCTGATCTGTACTCGTACATACATATGCACAATCCATCTTTAAAATCCGCTTCAAACGACACTATGCAATGCAATGCAACTTCAAGCACATCCCTGACCCTTCCCGTGTACCCTAAAACCCAAACTTCTGCGCCGCCCACGCTTCGAACGCTTCGCGGGGAGCATCGTGTTGATGTGAAGGAATTGCAACTGCAGTAGATGATGGAGTAGCAATCGTGTTACCTCGTGTGACTAGACGATGGGTTATCGGATTGTCAACATTATTGTTCTGTACTCGGGAAGAGTCTGGAGGTGCAGTGAAAATACGCAGAACACCGGGTGTAGCTCTCTTCTGGATTATTTCGGCTGTCGTCGCAACACGGCGTCGAGAACTGCCAGAGACTCTAGAGTTTTCAGAGGTGGCGGATTGTGTTTGGCTTTCGCGTTTCGCGTACGTATGCCAATCAACGAGTTCAGTCGGAAGATCAGGTCTCCCTGGTGCATTATGCTCGAGTCTGGCCCTCAGCGTATCCTCTACCATCTGCTTCCCATTCCGCTCACCCATCTCATTTCTCTCCTCCCCTGATACTCTCCTCGGATTTGCAGCCTGATATGGATCTCGGCTTAGAAAAGGAACGAGTGCGTTTTGCTGCAGTGCTGTTACAGAGGGGGAAGCGCCACGAAATGTGCCATCCTCCATCTGCTTCCTAACCGCCTTCATAGCTGGCCTCCTAAGACGCTCTCCATTCTCATCGAGTACCGTTTTCCAACCATCCGGACACGTATCCCAGCTCCTTTGCAGCACGCTAGCCTCTTCTGCTTCCTTGGCTTTCTGCTTCACACTCTCTTCCGTGAGCCTCTCGAATTCCCGTGCGGTGTTTTTGCGCTGTTCGAGGCTTTCAGAAAGTTTGGCATGGAGATCTAACTTTAGCTGTGCTTTCTTCTTGGCGGCTTCCAATTCGGAAGGGTTGGGAAGTCGTTCGTCGGAGCGCGGAACGCGTGAAGGTCTTGGAGGTGAGGTATTGGGCATGGGAATGGCGGCTTGTTGATTTTGGGGAGTTGTAAGCGCTGATGGGGGGATTTCTTGGTCGGGGAAATGTGTAGTCTGATGAGGAGGACTTTTGGGCAGATTCACATTCACTTTCTCGGAGACTTCGACCCCACCAGTTGATTCGGTATGTTCCTCAAAGCTGACGTTTCTCGACCGCCTAGATGAAGATCCCGTCGAACCTATCTAATTAGCAAAGGGTTCTGCAGTCCAAGGGGGAAAGCACGTACGAGGAGGCATGGGATGCTCGCGGGAAGATAAAGCCAGTGAACCTGTTTCCATAGCCAGCTCGAACGCGCGAACCGCAGCTTGTTCTGCGGCAAGCTGAGGATCGGTGGTCTTCTTGCGCACAGGAAGAGCTGGCATTGCTTCGGTCGTAGAAGCCAGTTGAGAGACTGATGTAATCAGGTTTCGAGGAAAATGAAGTTTGTTTGCAGTTTCTGGATCGGAGTAAAATAAAAAAGGGTGCTCAAGTGAAGAGGTAGCTTAAGCGAGCAGACTCGAGCAATATAAAGTAAACATCAACAACAAACACCTGATCACATTTCCACACGTCAAAGAAGAAACTTAGTCATTCTCATTGCTTGGAAAGCATGGTTAAAACTCGAAACCCCAAATTAAATAATAAATAAATGATTGAAAGTCACACATACCTACTCCGTACTAACTCAGTTAAGAAGTCTTCTAAGAAGAGTAAATCTCTCGATGTTGCATGACTATTCGCTCAATCCCCTGCAAAATCAGTCACTCACAAAGGTATACTATGTCGAACTTCAGTTTCAGGTCTGAACCGCATTGCACATGGCAGACTGCCCCAGATATCAAACTTTTCATTTCTTCATATCCATAAACTCGTCATACTTCCCATCCTAGGTGACGATAAAATCAATCAGAGAGGTTGAAGCCACATCCTTTTCCTTTCATACAAACAACTGTCCTCGATTTTAGTTTTTAATCCTAACAAATCTTCCCTTCCGTTAAATCGGTAGCGTCCCGTTCCAGCTCGCACCGATCCGGCTCAACGCATCCCCATGTCTCACTTTGCCATCTCTTAGCCATCTCGGCCGTTCCTCTAGATGCGATGTAGGTAGCGTTGAACCTAGATGTCTGCAAGCCTGCGTACAAATCTCGAAGTCCCATCTGATCAAGTGCATACCAGAGGGCATTCAGAAATTCCTTCTCTTCTGCTCCCTCGCCCATTACTAGGACTGCTTCAATAGGTGTGGCGCTTGTCACGAAATTGATGATGCGTTTGCTGACGTCTTTCTTGAAGTTAGGATTGTCGTTCTGGTGCTTCAATCCGAGGGATGCAACACGATCGCGGGATAGCTCAAGTGTACGGTGCGCATTGAACGCATAAATAAGCTGCAGGATTAACTCCTCGTTTGTGTAGGATAGCGCCAGCATTTCTTTTGGCTTAAATTGCTTATCCTCGGCCTCGCACGTTTGCATATCGCGCCAATGCTCGCACAATCCATTTCCCATCCCAGCATAAGCCGCAGCCGCTTGATACAGCGGAACGCCAGAGTCGGTGTGCTTGTAGTTATTCAAGCGATGGAGACCGATGTATTGCAACGCTTTGTCTAGATCTCCCGGGCGTAGATTCGGGAGTGGGGGGGAGCTGACGAGTACACCACCTGTGAGAATGGACTCTCCATTTTGCAGGCTGCTTTCCACGGCCAGGGTCCAGAGATGTTGAAAGACGTGGGCAAGAGTGTTGATGTTTTTTGTTGCAGGGAGCCCACGGGCTTTGCGCAACATTCGCGGAGCTTTCTCGAGTTCGTAGCGGAGACGGTAGAGGGGATTTATTGGGGCCGAGTGCCAGGTGCGGTTGCCTGATAAGTCTTGCATGAGCTGAACATACTCATGCTCTCCTTCCCACGAGAGCTGAAGGCAAGTCAGGCTTTGGGCCTTTTCGATGAGATAGGTTCACTTACACGACCAACGTCTACAACAGTTCCGGTTTCATATTTCATCGATACGGTACTGATGAGAAGTCAGATGTCAGATGACTTGGTATCTTGGTGTTGAGATGAAAATAATTACGCATAAGTAGAACTCAGATCAAACCCAACGCCAGGTGCTACCATAGCTGCCGTAGAAACACAGCTCCTACAGACAGGTATCGGTCTTCCATCACCAACAACTCTCTGTCTACCCCAAGAAGGTACGGGGCCAAGGTGGTTTGAGGCCAAGAGACCCCATACTTTCCATACGGGATCGAAGAGCATATTGGGGGATTGAAGAAAAAGAAAATAAGTTTCGAGACGGGAATGAGCGATCGTGAGGGAAGTTTAGAGGAAAGAAAGTGTGGATACACGCCATCTTGAATTGATGTGGTGTGCAAGGCGTACAGAGGTACCAACAGTTGGTACTTCGCCCCCAGGACTGCGGCGTGAGGGGTTGTAGTTGTGCAGAGGGGCTTAATAGTCGGTCCTTCCTTCTTCGCTCGTCTCGCTCACAGTCGGAGGAAGCGATGTGAGCGATGTGAGCGAAGCGAGCGAAGCAAGCGAAGAAGGATGGACCGACTATTAGCGCTTACCTGCATACGATCATATGCTTCCCCTTAATCTGACAGAATGATCTTGCGCTACCCGGAACGAACATGAAATATCTGTTAATTTGGTATCAAAATTGCCTTCTTCTTTATATAAAGATGTAAGTTCCTCGAAATTGCAATTTAGTCCTTGAGATAAATGTTTCGGCGAGCGCGTATATCGCAGGGATACGGCGTAAGTCGTATCCCCAGTTCCTTTGAGAGAGGGATGTCGATCTTCAATTACTTTTCAGAAGGCTCTGGGTGGGTTACCATAAGTCGACTTATTAATTTTTCAAGTCGACTTTTGGTAGCCCGTTTATTGCTGTGATGCAGATCTATGCTAGGGTAAAGAGCCAGTTATAAGTGTAGGATCTATCCTTTCCACGCCAAAGGACCCAGTTTCAGATTTTTAAGACGTTGCGTCCAATGGCTCGGGTTTGGCCATGATACACTAATGGAAGTAAACAAGATCTTCTAGAAACACAATGATAAAGGTTTAGAACCTTATTCGCAACCCCTTCCCTATTAAGGTTACCAGCCCGGCAACATTATAGTTGAATCGGGACTTGGGAAGGATCAACTAATGGGCCTTAGCGCAGAGGCACAGACTAGTTCTGTACGTACAGAGTACTTATAATGAAGACATTGACATCTCCGTCTCAGATTCAAGTACCGCTCAACTTCACATTCAACCAAAACACAATTGACAATGTCAGATACCTCAGGAACAGTTTTGGTCACAGGGCCGAATGGTGGACTCGGCATCGGATTCGTGGCTCAGCTTCTCAGAAGCCCCTACGCAACAAGCCATGAAACCATCTACGCAGTCCGCGACCCCGAGAAAGCCCTCGCGCTCAAAACAGTTCTCAAAACCGCGCCCAAAGATCACAAACACCTAGTCTTGCCACTGGACCTCACCTCCCTTGACAACATCCGGAAATTCGCTACTGATATCAACCAACGAGTGACGGCAGGGTCATTACCGCCAATTCAAGCACTTGTCCTCAACGCCGGCGTGAAAGATTGCACGGGCGACAATTTCACTAAAGACGGATATGAGCACACGTTTGCAGTGAACTACCTTGCAAATTTCCTGTTGAGTCTTTTGCTACTGGAAAGCATGGATAAGCAATGCGGGAGGATTATTTACGTGGGCTCTACGGCGGCTTTCATTACTGGGGGCCCGAACCCTAGTCCTTTTGTTAGTGAGCAGCAGAAGAAGGCTTTCATTACCTCGACGGAGAATATGGCGAAAGGCATCGAGGAGATTCCTGATCCGAAGGGTGATGCGAATGGGGTTGGTGAGAGGAGATATTCGTTGAGCAAACTGCTGATGAATATGTGGATGTGAGTTTCCATGGGTTGGCTTAATACTATCGGCTGATGTGAAAACACAGGTATGAGTTCCAGCGCCGTCTGGACGCCGATTCCAAACTCTCCAACATTGCAGTTCTAGGCCTAGATCCCGGATGGACCGGCGGGACGGACATCGCCCGCAACAGTCCTGCTGGTGCCAAGTTCTTCTTCAAAAACATCCTGAATCGCGTCGGATATATAATATCTTTCATCTGGTCCAATCCCTTGATCCGCACCCCGTCCAAGACTGGGGCTGATTTTCTGCGTGTCTGTTTTGATAGGAAGGCTTTTGGCGAGTACCCGAAGGCGAGATATATCAATGGCTCGGAGCTGTATCATACGCCCGAGGAAGCGGGGGATGAGAAACAGCAGAAAGTGCTTTGGGAAGGGAGCTTGAAACTTGCGGGAATCGAGGGAGATGACACTGTCCTTGATAATTGGAGGTAGATCGTGTTAGCATTATCTATTTTAGATATATATAGATAGATACCTAGCTTGTACGGAGTGTAAAGTCAGAGGTATTCTGCTTCTCCACGTGACCGACCGCTAAGTGGATCTGGGTCTGTGTCTGGAGACTATGGTAAGCTCTTTGGTAGTCTTAATATATAACGTTGAATTTAGGTGGAGAGGATGGGATATATATGCATGAGATAGAAAGTAAGATTTTCTTTCTTTCTGTGGTGTGGTTTTTGTCGTGCATGCAGCGTCAATTGAGTTTCGTCGCGTGACTAGGCGAGCTGGTAGGTTCGTTCCGTCCGATAACAGGAGGCACGAGCACGGAAGCTCGGGACAGAGTTTTGCATCGCAGTTTCCCCGCCATACCGAATGTACACCGCTTACACTGGCCAATCCCCAACGAGCACTTCTACCCGATTGCAAGGAGACTTCATTTCCCCTGTTGAGAGAGACGATCTGATTGGATGGCTGCAGGGATCTAGACCTCAATTCACACCTCGGCGGCATCGCGTGCGCGTGTAGCCCATCTACAGTATCAGCCACCCCGCATTAACTGACTAGTACGTGGTGAGCCACACGTTTAATCTCGTGCTTGTGCATCCCGTTCATCAACCTCCAACACCGCGAACCTGTACAACCAGATACACACTGGCTAGAAGATAAGACAGCCATGGCTACCTCCAAGCCGGCCGATGATATCGTGTCTCACGATGCTCCGCTGCACTTCCCGGCCGAGGACCACCTCAACCAGTCCAGTTCCATGGACGAGCTCATCCGCAATGCTAGGACTGCCACCGACAGCGAGCATTCTATGAGCCTGCTCCAGGGCATCAAGTTGTATCCGAAGGCTGTCGCTTGGAGCATGTTGATCTCGACCTGTATCTGCATGGAGGGCTACGACGTGTGTCTGCTTAGTAATTTCTGTGAGTTGGAAAATTTCAAGCCTTTCGCTTTTCTCTCCCCAAGCATCTCTTCCAAACTGACCGCGTGACTTCCACATCCAGACGGCTTTCCGCAATTCAACAAGAAGTACGGAAATGAATTGGCAGATGGAACGTATCAGGTGTCTCCTGCGTGGCAAGCTGGCCTGAGTAATGTAAGTCGAAGATCAGATCACGACGAGTTTTAACCATGCGGCTTACACGCTTCTCAGGGAGCCAATGTTGGAGAAATCATTGGTCTTTTCATCAATGGCTTCGTTTCTGAGCGGTTCGGCTACCGTTACACCGTCATGACTTGTCTGACCCTAATCATCGCGTTCACGGCAATCTTTTTTACGGCCAAGGATGTAGTTTCCCTACAAGTCGCTGAAATTCTTTGTGGAATTGTGAGCATGATCCAATCTCGAAAACCGTAGTACTTGTCACTAACGTTTCATTAGCCATGGGGTGTATTTCAAACACGTGAGTTGAGCGAGTGATCCGAGCATGCGATATGGAATTCTGATGTTTTGCCCGTAGTTACCATCACATACGCCTCCGAAGTATGCCCAGTCGCATTGCGTGGATATCTTACTACGTATGTCAACTTTTGCTGGGGTCTAGGTCAAGTGATCGGAATCGGAGTCATTAAGAGCATGTTGGGTCGTACAGATGAATGGGCGTATCGGTACGTCAATGAATCTCTGTCTCGATTCACTCCGAAACTGACTATGATACAGAATTCCATACGCACTTCAATGGATGTGGCCAGTCCCGCTTCTTGTCGGTATATGTCTTGCACCTGAGTCTCCTTGGTGGTTGGTTCGTAAGGGTAAGATTGAGCAGGCAAAGAAGTCGCTTCTGCGCTTGACTAGCCTGAACAGAGAAACCAATTTTGATGCCGATGATACCATTGCTATGATGGTCCATACCACCGCACTAGAGGAAAAGGTAAAATCTGCATCCAGCATAAAGGTCATCCTGCTAACATCACCCAACCAGATTACAAAAGGAGCAAGTTATTTGGACTGCTTCAGAGGTACTGACCTGCGACGAACCGAGGTAATGCCGGCCTATCGTCCGATCCATGTAAGCTTTCAGGCTGACTTGTCCTTGTTCTAGATTGTTTGCATGGTCTGGGCGATTCAAAACTTGAGTGGCAACTCATTCTCTGGATATTCCACGTGAGATCCTCCGAGATACAAATTAATCGTTCCAGCTAACAATTTCCCCGCCAGTTATTTTCTTGAACAAGCCGGTCTTGCAACTCCCAAGGCGTATGATTTTGCGTTAGGTCAGTACGGATTCAATATGATTGGCGTTTTCGGTGCCTGGTTTTTGATGTCTCTTGGATTTGGTCGAAGGTTAGTGAACTTTCTACTCCTCTTTTGCCTTGCACTGACCAGTGTATTAGGTCGCTTTATATCTATGGACTCTGTGGCCTCTGCTCCATGCTCTTTATCATCGGATTCCTCGGCCTTGTTCCAGAGGCCCATAGAGACCAAGCATCCATCGCCACTGGTAGCATGCTGTTGGTCTGGGCTTTGTGCTATCAATTGACAGTTGGCACCGTTTGTTACTCCTTGGTCGCTGAACTGTCCACTCGGAGACTGCAGATCAAAACAGTTGTCCTGGGACGCAACCTCTAGTATGTATTGCCGAACTGGGATATAATGTGACGATTGCTAATACTTATACTTGTAGTAATATCGTTGCAATCATATGCTCAACCATCACGCCGTACATGCTGAATCCAACCGCTTGGAACTGGCAGAACTATGCTGGGTTCTTCTGGGTACGCTCCACTTCTCTTACCTTTCCACCTCAACTTTTCCTTATTGATCCCCCATGTCCTTCCAACTCCTCCATGCCTCCCCCCTTTACTCTAGTCAACCATATTGTCTTGCCCTACATTGACTTCATTCAATTATTCACGCTAACATCTTCTCTCCTCTCAAGTCCGGCATCTGCTTCTTATGCATCATCTACACCTACTTCCGTGTCCCCGAGCCCCAAGGCCGCTCCTTCGCCGAGCTAGATCTCCTATTCGAACGTGGAGTCAGCGCTAGGAAATTTGCAAGCACCAGTGTGGATGTATTTGATGACGAGGTGCAAGGAGAACTTGTTCTGCCGCGGAGAGATGAGGAGAAGAAGAGCTATGTATGAATGATGCATATGTTGAAATAAAGGGGACAGACGATTGTGGAGTTGAATTGCAGGTGGCAGTGGAAGTGGAGAGGGGTTGCATTTTGTGGCGTTATTATGTGATATGAATCATGAGGTGCATGAGTCTGGATAGGATAGGGATAGGCATAGGCATTAGGCATTATGCTGCTTTTGGATATGAGAGTCCAGTGGTAATGTGCGAGGAAGCTGGTGGTGGTTGGTGCAAGCATGGCGCCGTCGAGAGGAAGTGATGCGAGGCGCCCAGGAGGGAGAGCATTTACATACGCCATAGTATGGACTCGGTCCATCGAGAGATTACATAGTCGGCGCAACGTTTGTAAATAATATACATACAGTACATACACACATACCAGTTTACATCCATGCCGTGTTGCTAAATGCGGTTTAGACATAGTGTATTCCTTACTGCTTCTTTCATACATGCAACTCGCACACCCCAGTCTACCGCCCCCTCTCCTATTATCATCATGCGTCAAAATGTGCAGCTTCTCGCTCCATCCCTATGACTTGGTCACGTGTCCGTAGACCAGCAGCCGGAGGTCTAGCGGCTGTTTGGATGGGATGAGGATGTGATCTTGCGTGGTGATTGGGAATGGGGATGGATTGAGTGTAAGAGAGTGCCAATGCCAGCTGGGGTGTGGCGTTTGGTGTGGGATGATCGAGGTCGATTATTGTTGTTAATGTATGGAGTATGGTAAGGGGAGTTGCAATTGAAGTCCGCACTGTGGGAAATCTAGATATGATATAGGGTTTCTGTTTATATACGAGTATGCTCTGTTTGGGGGGTGTCGGAAGATTCTTTGGATGGGAACGCGAGGGAAATGTTGGAGATTAGGGGTGGTGCATCGGGCGCGTCGGGCGCGTAGGAGTGTGGTGATTTTCCCTAGAACAGGACTCAAAAGGGGACATGGCAAATATGGAGCATGGGGTTTGTCTATGATATTAGTGCTGAATTTCGTACTTGTTTAGAGCATCATCCCGCGATATAAAAAGAGTGAAATAATTCTCAAGACATACCACTTCATGTGTCTAGGTATGTAAACCAGAGGCGGCGGGGCGGCCTGCATATGCCAGGGGGGCTGTACGTAGTAATCGTCCACTTATCGTTGCACGTGATACTCGAGTAGACGCGCAAAGCGGGATAGTTTCCGAAAACACGGTAGCCTAATTCATGAGTGTGCTTGGCTGTACAACCACACCTTCCTTCCTTCCTTTCCTTCTATCACGAAATTCCTTTTGGGAAACACAATATTTTCCCCAAGTTACGCAGCTCGAGGTCCCTGCCTTGCTGATGGATAATACTACATCTGCACCTAGCGCAATTGGCGACAGATTCATGCGTACCACCTTGCGCTGCAGGCCTAGGTTCAGCTGTTGAGATGTTGCTATCCACTTCTTCGGGTCAGGTCATCGGGTGTGTGATACTGACTACCTACTGACACAGCTATTGCTCGATCACTCTTGCTGATGATTTCTTAGTGGAATTCATGCCGTCCGTTGTCGTTATACTCTTGGTGGTCAGTTGACACTGCGCGTCTATCTCCGGAATGGGCTCGGGTCCCAGCTATGCCGCCCTTCTCGCCCTTCTGTCGGATCAGGGTCACTTTTGAATCCATTATACAGTCACTTTAGCACGAGCACCAGATTATGCACCAAAGGGGACTTGGCTACTAAATTAAAAGCAAAATTGGAGACTGTCAAGCCAAAGCAGCGAGAATGGAGAATGATTGAGGAGTCCAATCCGAACCCAAAATCGAAACCTGCTTCCCCGCGCTCAGCCGCCGAGATTGTGGAGAAGCATGATAATTTACACAAAATGTACTATGAAACAGTCGCAGAAGAAGATTCTCGGTTGTGGCTCAGACCTGAGACAATCAGAGGAATCCCGAGCTCCATATACGGCATTTGGGAAACTCCTCTCCGGGGAAGTCGTGATCAAAAGAGAATAGGTGTCAGACGACGGTTTGGCAATATACTTCAGACAACTGCTCATGCCAGCGTTCCATTCACTCGGAAAGAACTCACTAGATGGGATCAAAATGCATGCCAAGAATTGGCCCCATTATTCAAAGACATGATGCAAATGCGTGCAACTCTTGCAAGACTGAACGGCTTCAATAGCTTCTTCGAGCTTGGAAGCATAGGCAAGATGATGGATCAAAAGTCCGTCAAGTCATTTCTTGATAAGCTGAAGGACAAGCTTACACCTCATATTACATCTTACATGGAGGACTTGCTCGAAATGAAATTGAAAGATATGGACATTGCAAACTCCTTTTCAGAAGTGCGTCGTGGCCTTCAAAAACATGGGCAAACTATATCGGATTTCCAAGGATTTCACGGGGTCGATTATCAACTTCATTGGGGGGACGTGGCATACTATTCTCGTTTGCAGGTGCAGAAGAATGTCTTCAGTGACGAATCTATTGATTATTCTGAATATTTCGAGCTGAAATCTACAGTTCGCAAATTGCTCCCAGTCTTTGGCCATGTCTTTGGATTACGCTTTGCCGAGATAACAACGGATGGCTTGCACAGTCAATCGTATGGCGAACTTATTTCGAGATACTTGGAAGGCGCGAAGGTGAACTCGAAAAGCTTTGATAGAGAGAAGCTCCTTGTCTTTGATGTTTACGACACGACCCCTGAAGACGGTACAGCCTTTCTTGGTGTTCTGGTGTTGGACCTTATAAAAAGAGACCGTAAATCTCTGAGAGGCTTTTGTCAAGATCTTGGTTATGTATGCTCTTTGACTGTCTGTTAATTCTAGTTCGGCTTAATGCTAACTAGATACTTAGATGGATTTTGAGGGAAGAAGCACGAAGCGGGCATCAATTATTTTAATCCACGCAAACTTTAATCCACCAGAGTCCAAGCTCCCAACCCTCCTCAACAATAAGGAACTTGAATTGCTAGCACATGAGCTCGGCCATGCAATACACAAGTTTGTCCGGGGGGACACCGAGGGTGTACCAAGGGACGCCATTGAAATACCAAGCATGTTACTTGAACATTGGGTTCGTGATCCTCGAATACTACAGAAGCTCTCATCTCATTACGTATATCAAAACAAGAAAGCGTACTTGGTGGCTTGGGAATCCAGAAATCCTTCGAGGCCTTTGCCACTAGAGCAAGCTCCTCTGGATACTTTCGACCCAATAGTGCTTGCTCATCATCCGAGAAATCGCATTGCAGATTACCAATTAACGCTTTGGAAAGCGAAATTTGACCTTATGGTCCACAGCTATTCCGAAAAAGACCTTGAGAGTGCGAACCTGGGGGTTGATTGTGAAAATGTGTTACGCGAATGGACGGGAATCTTTGGCCTTGGAGACGGGACGAATAATTCATATCTAACATGGCACGAATTGGATAATTATAGTACCTCGTATTATACCTACCTCCTGTAAGTCAATTCTTCGTCTCGGACTAAAGATCCGCAAGTACACGCTACTTTTCTAATCATATCGGCGCGTACCTCCGTACCTGCTATCCTTTTTCTCCCTCGAGGTGCTGGTCAAGGAACAGACATTTCCAAAGAGCCGTGTCTTGCTTTCACTGCCTCCATACACTCACTTGAACACCTACTTTCTGTCTGAATTTCGGACCAAGATATACTGACTCGTTTAGCGGCGAGGTCTATACCCTTGATATTTTCAAGACCCATTTCGCCAAAAACCCCCTGAATCGCAAAAAGGGCCTCCAGTTCCGCAAAATCTTTCTCGAACACCGTGATTGGTTCCCAGATCGTACAGTAGCAAAGGATCTCAAAAGAAATCTATTGAATCGACTCTATCTATATTCCAAACTCCGTGCGATGGACAAATCAGAAAATACTATGGATGCACTTGTGAAATTCATGGGGAGGAAACCTAGCATGAACCCGTTTGTCAAGACGCTCAATGCTCCACTCAGGCCTCGAAAGTCGATTTGGAAATGGGTGCGTGGGCATTTGGTGACGGCGTGGAGGGAATTTGGAGAGGTGCGGAGGTTTGTGGTTAGTCGCCGTGGTCAAGAGTATATCCGAGAGAAGGCGAGAGTTAAATAGTAGGGATGTTGACTTGCTGAGTACTTTTCTTGCTACATTATATTTTGTGTTTAGTTCTTTTGGGTACATACATATCCTAGAGTTATGTCCTGTGGTTAAGATACATCCAAGATATTGATGGGAAAGACAACTCGAAATAGATGGCATTTAGTTGGAAGCTCGCTCTGTTCAACGAGCTGGTTTTCGAGAAATATGTTTCGCTGTATATACATGAACTCATATCATGCTTCACAGCCATCTCCACAACCTCGCGGACCGCGGTGGACAGAAAGCGGCACCCATTTATAATGTGTCTAATGCCCTAGGATATCGTTATCATAAGCCCACGAGAAAGTATAAGTGCCGCTTCTTGTGTCTTCCCCCCAAGGAAATACCTATAACCAGCGGCCCTTTAATTTTACAAGGAAGACCATAAAACCCCACAGACAGGAGTCAAGAACGAGCATTCATTTCATTCCCTTGAAACCGCTATGGCATATATGATGTATTCTCAAGCCGTCCATCAATATCCCATCACTCACACAACTCTCTCTGCCTGTCATGACATGAAGTCGCTCGCTAATCAGCTATACCCTCCCTGTCTTTCTGGACCCCGGCCCGGCTGCTGGGACGCTGGATCTGATTGGATTCTTTTTTGTGGGCTGTGTTTGAGATTCTGGGTTGTGGGTATTGTATGGGGGGGGGATGTGGGGTGTTGTTTGGGGAACGCTGTGGGGTATCAGGGGGGGTTACTGTAGGAAGCGGGGTATTTTGAGGGCTTGGATACAGGGCTGTTGTTTTTGGGGGGTTGTGGTTAAGTGAGAGTAAGAGGGAGTGAGGGAGAGGGAGGGAACTTGGAACTGGAGCACAAATGACAAAAGGGAAGGAAATTTTTCTTGATTGTTACGAAGTAAGGCTGTGGTTCATAGTCAGTTTGGTGGATGTTCGAGACTCAATTGGGACAGGGGTTGGAGGTTATTGCATAAGCACTAAATACTTACACAAGCAAACTTTATATTTATTTTTTGGAACAAGGCGAATCATTCTTATTCTGTCATAATTGAGAGTGAGACAACTCCGAGAATTATGGTTCAATATTACCACCACAGAGGAACCCGGTCTGGCCCCCCCGTCAGAACAAGCAAATTCTATTCCACCGTCCTGGGTTTTCTAGCTCCACCACTCCTCGAACACTCAACAATGGAGCTTTCCAATCAACACCCTCCTCAGCCTTGGAAGCCGCAACTCTGCCCATTGCCGCTTCACCTCTTGCTTGAACAGTGCCCATGAAGCCTTTCAACTTGGTATCCAAGTAGCATTTTCTAGGCTTGTGGTTCACATGACCAACCACGACCAAGATATGCAGTTGCTTTAGCCCGGACAGAGGCCCAGAGAGCCACTGCGAGATCCAGGTAGAGAGTGGGACCGTAACATCGCGATCATCCCAGGCTATATTCGTGCTCTGGTGCAATCGAAGCTCTAGCTTTTCGATGGTACGGAAATCCGCGCCGGAAAGCCTCTGCAGCGCCGTGGCGGGGGAGTTTCCGCGTGAACTCGGTATAAAATCATTATGATCGAAGACGATGATGTCTGATTTAAAATCGATGTACTGGTGTCTGAGTTTGGGGGACATGCACCGCCATGTTTGGTAGTGCTCGAGTGCGACGCAGCGAGACTCGTGATTGACTTGTAGGATGACTGGGTTTTGATATGTTTCAGGTTCTTTCGTCCTGTCTGCTGCTGCTGCTGTTCTCTCGGATGGGGAGAAGGGAACAATGTGGCGCGGCGCTGGTAACGCCAATGTCCAGACCAGCAGGCGAAGCTCGAGGGGAAGATCCTGGAACATGAAGAATGAAGATTTGACAAGCTGCATCAGTTGGAGAAACCGACAGCATGATGGCCGGCTTGAGTAGGGTAGAAATGTGAAAACCACAGGGGCATTGGAGAGAAAAATTTGCAAATAGGCGGTGTACAGCACTGGCGGTGTGATGACCGCTGAGGCCACCAGACTACGGTGGCGCAGTCGTGAAACAAAACAGGCAACAATACAGTAATACAAGTCAAAGCGACCACCGATCGCCACCGCTATTTTGGGACAATGAGGAAATGAAGCCTGAAAAGATATAAAATATACCAATAATATGATAGCCCATTGGAAGGCTCATTTCGGGACGCAAATTTTCATCGGTGAGAGCTTCTACTCTTATTTTTGATGCCGTCGCCCAACTCCGTGGTGACACTGCATGGAAAATCGGGTCAAATATAAACATATCGTGGACCTGAGAATCATCCATTAGAGTTTGCCTCGTGGCAATGACTATCTCAGGCAAGTCGGTGAAGGTGAAGATTGGAAATCACTCAACGTTCATCGACCAGCTGAATTCTCAGAGTTTCCTTGTATCAGTAAACCTAAACTCGGCTTTCTTGGATTTTCACATCCCAGGCTTTGACAAATGCAGTGAAACATCAAGGCTGAGAGCTGACTGAGGCTCTTGTGCTCCCGAACGTGTTCGATTTCTTGCTGACTGAAGGTGTGTGTATTTGTCGATGAGCCTAATGAATCGGGCGCGCGTGTAAATCTGGTGTGGAACCTTGTCATCAAAAGATCAGAAATACTGTACCATAATAGACCAGCGGAAACTCTATCTCAGGTGCCTCTTTGAATGGATGTTTTTGCTCCACGCAAGATCCAGAACTTTCCAAACTTGACAACACACTCAATGTTCGCTTCATCTCCACTCATGACGGCCGTGCCAACAATTCGCTAGCATGATTGGAAGATGAAAGAACTCCTATAGTGATAAAGGGAATCTTGATAAATGTATAACAACAGATAGGCATCTTTTCCTGGTCCGTGTCCAAGGTATTCGTTGTCAATTCGGCCTCCGTCTTCAAGCATGGCCATAAACTTTCCCGGAGGTGCGCCGTCCAACCAAAGTCTTCCAAGTCGAAATCGACACAATTTCGCAGGAGACGAATTGAGCGTACGTTCTGGGCCGTACAAGGGCTTGAGTAGACTCATTCTATGATGCTTCTAAGCCGCCAATGCATCTCACCTTTCGAGACTCGCGCCAACCTACTCGTCGAGAAGCCATCGATCTAAGATGGGCCTTCCAATGGTAAAGTGCGAATGCTTCGTTTGTACTCAAGGTAGATTGGGAACATTGGGAACAGCAGTGCCGACAGTTAGGCCATGTGTGCTGGGGCGTGTTTGGGGGACCTAGCGTGCAGCCATACCAAACGGCGTAACTCCCAACGGCAGCTAGGGAAACAAATAAACGATATCTAGAGCCATGGAGAGATCCCGCTGTTCGTTGCCATTGTCAGATATTAAAGAGGTTAGAAGCGAAGTCTGTGAACACGGGCGCTTTCGAACAGCAGGTTTGTGGGAGTCGCACTAGGCCGTATTGGGAAAGAAGGGGGAGGAAGAGGAACCTCGAATGCTGCACCACTTGTAAAACTTTAGTAGGGATTTTGGATAATTTGAACGATATGTAGTATAAACAAGTAGAGCTTGTGGCTTTAGGGGTTTTTGAAGTCTTGTTTAATGACGTGATGTTGAAAATGCTGTCTTTTCTACGATGCCCCCTTTGGTGTCTTCCAACCGTCTCCTGATTGTCCGTCGACTTCACAATAACTCATCCCACATTCGACTTTCAACGTATAACAAGATTCTAGATGAACAATCGATATATTTACCTCTTTACATCTAGCTATTTCCTTTCACTATGTTTCATGAACAAAACTAAGTACGTTCCCTGGTGCTTTTCGGGACTGACTATGAAAATCGGATATATGAATCTAAAAGTTTGTGAACAGCTCAAAGTTGACAAATATATGAATTACGACAAAACATGTCATCTAGTCGATAGCTATGAGACACCTGCTTTCACACCCTTACGGTGGGATAATACTGGCATAAGTGACGAGACAGGTTGGATTGGACGTGAGATAAGTTGTAATGCATCAGCTGTAGCTTTGTGCTTTCTCATTCAGTAGAACAGGTTACGAGAATATCGAATTGTTTTCCTAGGTATAGTGTCTTGAGATGGCTTTTGTGAATTGCTCTCTACCCATGTTCTAGTGTACAAACACACAATACATCTAAGCCACATCCCACAGATCCAGGGCTCGGCAGTATACGAAAGACACTTGCAAATCTATCATACATAGTAAAACACTCCGAAAGTCCATTGAACGCTGCCAACTAAAGATAAACCAGAATGTATTGCATACATACTCCGTATTCAACTCACTAATGACCAGCGACAACGATTCTGATCGACCGAAATAAAAGTGTCAAAGAATACATATGCCCTTTATATAACCTAGACCCTATTCCATCTTTAGTTTCTAGAAACGACTGACTGTGAAGAATAAGATAGATATATGAATGAGAAAATTGAAAATCATCCCTCCTTGACAGCTTCAATAACAGCATACTCCCAACATGTCCCCATCTTCTCACACTCCTCTATGATATTCGCATCTTCCCACCACCAGCGATCAGCCTGCACGTACGAGCCCCATATCTCTTTCCAGAGCATACGGCCGACTACACTTTTCAGCTCTTGCTTCACGATTGCGTTTTTATCGATTGTGTCACTTGGAGAAGTAGACTCTTGATCGATAAACAAGTCTTCGGCTTCCTTCGCATTGACGGAGGCAAGGAAGCAGACCGTAAGACGCGTACTGCCTTCTGCGCGGAGACGTGCAGCCTCCAGCCAGATGGGGAACAGGCGCGAAGGGTTGATGCACCGGAATTGCTTCTCTAGGTTGAGGATCAGGTGAGTATCTAGCCAGGCGCGAAGTATAGGGCCAAGTGTTGAGGGGATGGGCGATGGGTCGAGGATGGTGAGATGGAGTGTTCCTGCTTTGGTCGGCTCTGGGGGTGTGGTTCCTGGGATTGTTGGAGATGATGGACATGACGCCGACATTAGGGTTCGGTGGCATTCCTTGAGAATGCTAGGTAGAGAAGATGCTGGAAGAATGGCGGGGAGTGAAAAAGCATGCATTGAATCAAATAGATTAGAAGCGAAGGGGAGAACTAATTTTGGCCTTGAAACGGGCATGGGCTTAATATTGGGGTAAGATTTTGGAGATAGCGGTGTCGTTGAGAGGTGGTGTATGTCAGTAAATGGTGCAAGGGCTGAGAGGAAAGATGCAGACGCTATACGCTGTTAACAATAATACTGTGGGAGTCATTAGAAGGCTTACCATGATTCTCGTACAGCGATAGCGCTTTGGCCATTCCAAACGGCCTACTATTTACTTTCATCGGCGTCTCACTTGACCTCCAGAGACTTCTCAGCGCCGAGAGCATCCAGAGCTGCTTCTCAAGTTCCAATTCACGATACACCGATGCATCCGCAATTTCCATCCACTCTTCTTTAAGTCGTTCAAGAATTATCCTGGGGCTTGCGGCATCCATTCTCCGGATACTTCGTTGCAAGTGAGTGACTTCCAAGATGGGTGATACCTGTCGCGTAATATCCACAGACTTAGGCGATTCCACTACCATTGCTGCTGGATTCTCGCTTTCCTTTCTTTCCGAGGGGCAGTTCCAAACTTCTGGAGCCTTCCAGGAGCCCCCCTGCCTTCCTCGAAGCACAATAGGCCTACCAGTTTTCTTGAGGTCAACATTATGTGCTGTAAGTATCGACGCTGTATGTGATTCTGGCAAACTGAAATGGGGAATTGGGAAGTCAAATATTGAAGATCCATGTGACCTAGACAGTCAGCCAAACGGTTTTTGAGGTAGGATGAGATAAATCTACATTTCCGTCGGAGAATCGTTCACTTCAATTGGAATTGTACCAGCGGCCGATATGTGGACAATAGTCGCCACTTGTTCTGCTGATCTAAGGCTATCTCGTGGGGACACCGTAACTTCTGTGCTTTGAGTCACGAATGAAGTCGGACTCAACGGTTGTATGATCGGACCTTTACCAAGAGGAGACTCTGGTGTAGAGCCCCACGATGACTCGGTAGCTGCTGAGCGCCCAGTCCACCCAGAAAACACAGACTCCGCCGCTGAAGGACCTATTAGTCAACTAATTGCAGGTACAGACTGTCAACATACCCTCGGATGAACTTGACTGGGGTCCGTCCGCATTGTACGGAGGACCTGCGAAAAAGCCATTGACTGGAATTCGTGTGGTAATTGCTTGTCCGGGTAGCTCGCTTCTCGATGTTTCTGAAGCAACGGTATAGCTTGAAATACGTCTCGAAGCCTTGATACTTTGTTCCGTTCTCAAAGCCGACAGTTTGGAGTGCGAGCCACTTCGTCTAAGCCCCCCCTTCCTGCTACCGCCGAAAAGCGAAAAGAGTGCTGGCTTTGCTTGACTTTGAGCGGACTCTGAAGATTGGGAGCTTCTGATAGATGTTCCCCGGGACAAGCCATTAGCCTGATGTTCTTTGCGGTTTTTTCGTTGCCCAACGGTCTCTCGTGTCGGGTCAGTCCACGATATATCGAACATGATCAGGGTGGAAGGAGCGGTATGCGAACCGAGAAAATGACCTGGGAAAAGAAGTCAAGATAAACGCGCGAATGATTCAAAGAGATGCGACGGAGGACGGCTGAAAAAGCAAAACCGAGCAAGGGAAGTAAGAGTTTGTGATAGAAATTACGTGGAACCCAGCCCTTGATCCCACGAGTTCGTAGAGACACACTCTCTCCTGCCACATGGCAGCAAGGCATAGCAAACCATCGGACGGAATGAGGATCTCCCCTTCCCGACAACGCCGTGGTGGTTTGGTGTAATCAATGCAATGAGAATCGTGAATCCCGAGTCCATAGTCCATATTGGCCAGCTGTGGGCTTCCGTTGAAGAATTCTTCACCCACTAGTGCTCATGGGCCAAGCGTGATGGTGGCGTTCGATACTTGCAACACAGGACACCAGATGAGAAATGATCAACGCAGACACAGTCTGATGCAACTTGTAAGTTATGACCGTTGAAAATGGGCTGATGAGGGGAAAAGCAAGGGAGAGGAGGGGGAAGAAGAAAGGAGACGATTACTAGGGAGAAAATAGCGGGCGGTTCTAGGGAGTTTCTAGGCGCCGCGCAGGCCACCTTAGCTGCCGAGCGCCTGTGAGTTTAGCGACATGATCAGTAATAAATCTCCCCAAAAACCCTGCGGATACCTGCTGCATCGCGAAAAACCCTTCCCTCCCTTCATTTCATGGACTAATGCTGCCAGTCCACAGTTTCGGGCCTCAAGCTTCATCAATTCATCTATCTGCGGCTTCCTACCTGTGTTATTATGGAGGCCGCAAGTGCATATCCTCGAGTCCAGTCCAGTGCCTGCAGTGCAGCACCTACTGTACCTGGTCTGTCGTGGAGGATCTCCTGCGTCGCGCATTCGGGCACATACCTTACCTAGCTACCTACATATCTTGGTGTGCCGCAATCTGATGAAATCGAAAGCCCAAGTTACAGAGTGGCACAGGTCGTTACACCCGCTGCCACTAGTGATACTGTACTGTACTGTACGGTAGAAGGTACTGCTGATATTGGAAAGCTGCTACTGTAGCTGCCCGCTATCCCCAGGCGTTCCTGTCAGACGGTTACCCGTAGTTCGGCACAGGTTGTTTTGGTACTGAAGGGTTCGTGGAATTTCCTCTGGCATGATTTTGTCATCTTCTCCAAGTTGGTTGTCTGGGAAGTCCCAAGGATGCGTGATTCTTTCTGTCCATGAATCATTTCCTGCATGCTCCTGTAAAATTCTTTTCTTACATGTCATATTTCTGTCACAGCCGATATCACCCTGCATACCATAGCTTCGGCCGATCCAGAATATGCCTATGTATTGTTTTTCGGTCTGTAGTCCTACACGGATATTCGCAGCCTTTTCACCCCCGCGGGTAGCACTGGCATCTACCGTTGTCTTGAAATCTGCTGTTAGTGCCGGTCTGGGTTGTCAGGATACTGCAGATACATCCAGTGCCTCTCGAGCCATGCTCAGAATCCTTGGTACAGCAACCATAAGCCCATTCATTCACTTTCGCTTGTTTATGCCATCCTCAAAACCGCATTTTCTCAAAACGATAATTATCCGCTGTCAAAATTGTTCTGAAGATCTCCATCTGTTTAATTCAGGTTATTTCCCCACGTTTTCTACATGCGCGAGTAAGCAAACGTACCTTCTTTACCATGTTTTCGATCCAAAAACATGTCGATGCTTTCGATGCAAGAATCTCTACATCGACATTCGGCCGTGTGTTTAGGCTTGGAGGATCGGGTCACGTACGTTATATCATGTTCTCTAGTTACCCTTGATATTTACAGTTTGTAGGAGAAGCAACGGCATGGCTCCAGATTCGTAACAGAAATCAGAGCTGGGCTGACAACGTTCTTCACAATGGCCTATATCATTGCTGTCAATGTAAGCTCTGAATATGGTCCTGTTACCTCACGTACTGACCATCATCAAGTCCTCCGTCTTGAGTCAGAGCGGTGCCACTTGTGTTTGCTCAGATCCTGTGGATCTTACATGCAATCACGACGTCGACTATAATAATTGTCTTGTTGGTGCGTATTTCTTCTCCCTGGCCTGGAAGTAATGCTGATATTCTCAGGCGTGAAAAGAGATTTCATTACAGCTACAGCTGCCATAGCCGGCCTTGGATCTCTCATATTTGGCTTTCTCACCAATCTACCGGTGGCTCTAGCGTAAGCTCCTTCTCTGTGGTTTGGGAATTCTCTGACTTGGCGCAGACCCGGAATGGGACTGAATGCCTATTTCACCTACCAAGTCGTCGGCTACCATGGAACTGGTCCAGTTTCTTATCGACTCGCTCTCACCGCTGTCTTCATCGAGGGATTTATCTTTCTCTTTCTCTCGCTGATTGGTTTACGGCAATGGCTCGTCCGGATTATACCAGCTTCAATCAAGGTCGCTAGTGGCGTGGGAATTGGATTGTTCCTTACAGAAACTGGCATGTCATCTTCTGGCATTGGCTTGATCTCGGGGTCGCCCGATACACCTACCGACTTGGCAGGGTGTCCAGCACAATATATTAATCAAGCCTCTGGACAATGCACTGGCCATAGAATGTCCAATCCCCAGGTATGTGTACAACACCCAAAGACAAAGGCCCATATTAACAAGTCGACAGATGTGGATTGGAATAATGTGCAGTGGGGTCTTAACAGCATATCTCATGGCATACCGTGTCAAATCTGCCATTATTATTGGCATATCCCTCGTGTCTATATTATCCTGGCCGTGAGTAGCTATCTTCAGGGACCATCATCATATTCTGACATCTTTCAGTCGCGCTACCTCCTTCACTTACTTCCCTTACACCCCTGAGGGCGATGAAATGTACGACTTCTTCAAAAGGGTGGTCTACTTTCATCCCATCCAGAGTACTCTGAACGCGCAGGATTGGAACGTTGCAGCTGCAGGAGGTCACTTTGCCTTAGCTCTGTTCACTTTCCTATACGTCGACATCATCGACGCTACTGCAACTTTGTATTCCATGGCCCGCTTCTCCGGTGTCGTGGACCCAGACTCCGGTGACTTCCCCCGTTCCACTCTCGCCTACTGTTGCGACTCAGTGGCCATATCTATTGGCTCGCTTTTTGGTTGTTCCCCTGTAACGGCATTCATTGAATCCGGCGCTGGTATCACAGAGGGAGGTCGCACAGGTCTCACAGCCATGACTACGGGTGTGTGTTTCCTCATCTCCATCTTCTTTGCTCCGATCTTCGCCTCCATCCCGCCCTGGGCCACTGGCTGCACGCTCGTCCTCGTCGGCTGCATGATGATGCGGCAGGTGACCGCTGTGAACTGGGCCTTCATTGGCGACGCATTGCCGGCATTCGTGACTATTGTTACGATGCCTTTCACTTACTCGGTTTCGTACGGTCTCATTGCTGGCCTGTTCTGCTATGCTACGCTCAACGGAATGATCTACATTACCAAGAAACTTTCTAGGGGTATGATCCAACCGCCTGATGCCGACGCCGCTGAGTATTGGACGTACAAACCCAGTGGCGCTCACCCTCCTTGGTTCATCCGTTTCGGACATAATAGATTGTGGCGTACAGGGCGCAAAGATGATGAAGTCGAGGTCAGAAGCATCGACGCCGGTACACAGGCTAGTGAGAAGGAATTGGTCGATCTCCCGCGCCTTGGAAGACGTGTCGTCTCTTGATGAGGCACGCCAGGTGCGAACTGACAAGTGTTTAAATAAGCTATTTATTTCTATACTCGCGATTTACGAATTTACGTTTGCACCTGTATATTCAGGGAAGGAGATAAAAAGTGTTGCGAAATTAAGATGGCTGTACCATATTGCTTGCTTTCTCTTCCTCTGATGACCTTTTGGTTTCATTTACTCTTGTTCAATAGATGATTATAACGATGATACTGCAACGAAACAAAAGTTTTCAATTTGTCCAAATATCAACGACCAAAATACTAAAGTCAAGAATACACAACAGAGAACTGAATGAGCGTGCCAAGGAAAGTTTACATCGTGTTCCCTCCAGCGGAGAAAACCTTTGATCAATTTGCATTTCCATACCCACCATACCCTCCGTAGCCTCCAGAGTCTCCAGTTCCTCCAAACCCAGAAGTGCTCGACGGAGCTCTTGAAGATGTAGAGTGGCCAGTCCCCAAAGTCGTCGTTGCAGCCCCTCCATTAATTTCAGTACTGCTGGCAGGGTCACTCGACCGCGACGTCGTCGCTCCTCCGCCCTTGCCAGTACTGGTTGGAAAGCTATACCCAGGATCCGATGCCGTCGAGCTATCGCCACCAGATCCAGACCCAGACCCGCTTGACGTTGTCGGCGACGCGCCAGGATCCCCAGACTGCCCTGAGCCGGCGCCAGTGCCAGTGCCTGTGCTGCTGGTTGGAACTGGTCCGCAACCACCGATGCTGATAGTACTACTGGTCGATCCTGATGTTTGCGTCCCAGCTCCAGCACCGGCTCCAGCTCCCGTAGCGGAAGAAGAGGTGGTGGTTTGCTGGGAACTCGGCGTAGAAGAGGAAGAGGAAGACTTTGATGTATGTTGGCCCGAGTTGGCGCTTGTAGCTGTCGCGGTCTTGCTGGTCGTCTTGTGTCCGGGATCTTGGCTGCTTGAACCTCCATAGCCGCCAGGGTCACCCCCCGACCCACTTCCTCCGCTTCCCCCAGATCCATTTCCTGCACCTCCCGACCCATTTCCGCCACCTCCTGAGCCATTTCCACTACCTCCTGAACCGTTTCCTCCTCCACCTGAGCCATTCCCACTGCTCCCTCCGGAGCCATTTCCTCCACCACCTGAGCCGTTTCCACTACTTCCCCCCGAACCGTTTCCTCCACCCCCTGACCCATTCCCACCCCATCCACCTGAGCCATTTCCTG